CGGTGCGGTCTCGCCGCAGCGCGCCCCGGCTCCTCTCCCCTCAGCGGTGGCCTGGCGAGCCCTCCGGCGTCGCTTGGGCCTTCCCAGGGCCTGGCCTGGCCTGGAGCAGGGCGGAACGGTGGCGGCTATGGGCATGGGGCGGGAGGCGGTTTCCCCGCTCTTGGGCGTGGTGTTAGCGGGCTGGGCCTCAGCTAGGGAGAGGGTATCGCCTCTCTTTCTGCGGTGCTCCGTTTGCATGCTCGTCTTTCGCCGTCGGGAAATCAATGCTGTGTGTGCTTGTGGCAAAGTTAATCCTGCTAAAAATATACGTTGGTGAAAAGCCAGCGTGGATGTATTTGGGAGTTTCATGTATTCTGCACGTTGAGATGGCTTTCCTTTGCCTCATTTTCTCGAAGTCAGCTCTCTTATGCTGCCTTTGTTTCTGTTTATAGGCTAAGGTTGTCACACAAATTGCATAACGCATATTTCTTGCAATATTCTCCAGGTATTTTCATCTGGCAAAAATGGGTGAACCTCAGCAAGTGAGTGCCCTTCCTCCGCCTCCAATGCAATACATAAAAGAGTATACAGATGAAAACATCCGCAAAGGCCTGGCTCCGAAGCCGCCGCCTCCTGTGAAGGACAGTTACATGATGTTTGGTAATCAGTTCCAGTGTGATGACCTGATTATTCGGCCCTTGGAGAGCCAGGGCATCGAACGGTTGCATCCTATGCAGTTTGATCACAAGAAGGAATTAAGAAAACTTAATATGTCTATCCTGGTCAACTTTTTGGACCTCTTGGATATTTTGATAAGGAGTCCAGGGAGTATAAAGCGAGAGGAGAAACTGGAAGACTTGAAACTGCTTTTCGTTCATGTCCACCATCTTATAAATGAGTATCGCCCTCACCAAGCGAGGGAGACACTGAGGGTCATGATGGAGGTGCAGAAACGTCAGCGTTTGGAAACAGCAGAGCGGTTTCAGAAGCACTTAGAGCGGGTTGTAGAGATGATTCAGAACTGCCTGGCCTCCTTGCCTGATGATCTTCCCCATTCAGAGGGAGGACTGCGGGTGAAAGTGGAAGCCATGGACACTGATGACGGCAGCAGCTGCATTGGGCAGAGTGAAAAGCAGAGGGAGCGTTCTGCTGGCAAGAGAGATCAGGTTTTAGACAAAGATGCAGCTATGTGCAGCATTATTGATGAAATGACATGAAGAAAACACTTTTTTTGTTGTTGTTATTAGCTGACCATAGCAAGAGTGGATTCTGAGGGTGTCTGCTGTATTTTGTTTTGCTGTTGTACAAGCAGAGCATTTATTGTGCACCTCTTGGAGGTCATGAGGCAGGTGGAAATGTTTAATATATTATGACCTGTGTTTTTATTGATAGAAACAAAAAATACACTTTTTGTGAAATGTATTGTGAGGTGGTTGCCACAATTAGCTGTTTCTGTTGTACTTGCAGTTGTCTTTCTGCTTTTTTTTTGGCTACCATTGGTAGGTTTGTTTATTTAAATTGCTTTATAGTGTGGAAGCAAGTAAGAGAATCTACCTGAGAGGAATTGCAGTTGACTTCCTCAGTTTCCAGTAGGTGCTAGTTGTTAACAGTTTAGTGGGTCCTTTCAGGAATGTGTAATTCAATATTAAAAATAAAACTAGTGTGAAATCTGCAAAATCGATTCCTTTCCAGTTTTGTGATAATATAACTGTACTAAGGACATCCTAAGAATTCCTTTATTACAGGTGTCATGTGGTATAATTTGCCTTACAGAGACAATGCTGTCAGGAATCTCAATAAATGAAATCCTGCCTCTGGCTTTTTGCCATGTGAGATTGTAGTCCATGTGCTTGCCAAAGTAGGTGCAGCAGCTGAAAACCAGGTAAACTTCATGGGTGAGGGAACTTACACAAACTTTGTTTTTTAACTGTGCTTTAACTAGCTATGTCTCTGTTTGATTTGATAATTCTCTCTTCAGAAATGCTCCTTAACTGGGCAGGGAGAAGTACATAGCTATTGTATGGTGGGGATTGGGCTCAGTGTAGACAAGGGTGAAAGGAACTGAAGCTAGTTCGTGACTCATTGAAGCACATCTGCTGTTCTAAGTGCACGTGACATCATTAAGTAACAATAAAGAAGTAGAAACATGGGGTTTTATTTAGAAATGTATAAATAATTTTTACAAAGTTAACACTTTTGTCCTTTATTTAACTATTGCTCTTTCCTTCTTTCTCCCCAGACTAGAACTAAATTACATTACTTGTAGGCAACTAAAATGACTGTAAGTGAACAGAATTAATTTCCTATCAACTTTGCAAGTGTTGTTTCATGTGGAAGATATGAAGAAATGTTTAGTGCCTCTTGGAGAAGAGGTTGTGCCCTGTGGAACTAGTTTGTCACGGATGAACAAGAGCTGTTGTAGACACTGAAGGGTTTTCTGTTGATTTTTGTCTGTAATAGTCAGAGGCCTGGGCACCACGGCTTCAAAATCCTGCACAGGCTGGGTCACAGCAACAACTAAATTGCAATAGAACTTTTTTGTGAAACTCATGTAATTTAAAAAGTACTTAAAACTGCTTTCACTTTCCAAGAAATTCCACAAATAATTTCTATGCTGTAGCTTATTTTTTTTCTGTGTTTAATGCAAACCCTTAGAAAGCTGTGGGAGGCTTCTTGGGCTTTTTGTTTTTCAACCAGAACATTGACTTCTTCCTCCATTGTGAAGTCAAAGCAACAACAGTTTTCCTTTTTTTCTGTTACAGTTTCATTTTTGGGGAAAACAACGGGCTGTGGCTGCAATGAAAGCAGTGGGTGACATAAGCCTGTTAGCCAAGGGAAGTGGCCATTTCGGGGAGGATGTGACTCACAGGAGAGGAAAACTAATGGCAAATGTGTCTTCTCTAGTGTGTTAATTAACCTGCTTCTGAGATCTTACCTCAGCAAGTCTTGGTTTTATTTTTGACTGTGATAACATTTGAAGTATTCTGCCCCTGAAGTGTTTACGTATACAATATGTGTTGGGTTATATATACCTTATGAAACTTAATGAGAAAGAGTTAACATCAGGGGTTAAGCAGCATTTTGTTGGATGTTTTCTTAATTATAAAAAAAAAAAAGGGAAGGAAAAGAAAAAAGCCCAGCCCTTCTATTACACTGTCTGAATAAGCATGGGGATAACAAGACTAGTTCCTTGAAAAGCTCCAAAAGTTTCTTGAGACAGGGAAGCCAAGTCTGTCACCAGTGGACAAAAGTGGAAAGTTTGTAGCTTGGATCATTGAGAGGGGAAAGAAGAAAAGCTGTTTCATAATATGTTTTTAAAACAGCGCAGTGAAGACATTTCCAACAATGCTTTAAACTCATTTCAATGTTTATTGTTTTGGTTTGTTTTTCACAAAGTATGATCTGACTATATGCTCAGAGTCAAGAAGAAAATGTGCAGCTGCTTTAAAGGCTGCACGAAAAAGATTAAACTGACAGCTTTTCTACAGAAATGGTGCACAAATGACAAACAGGAACTTGGTAAACAGGCATCTAGAGACTCAGAAATTATATCAAGGGATTCCATATGGTCTGTGTTTGGGGTGAAATCTAAGGCAAGTGGGTTAACTGCTGTCCCGTAGCTCTCACATTCTTTTACTCTGTGAACAGAATGACTCGTGGGGATGTGGCCAGCAGACGGCACCCGAACTCTGCTGGCTGTTGTAGGAGCTAAACAACCTGGGTGAAGGGAGTAGAACGGGCTCAGGCAGAGCTCTGGCATCACACTTTCCTGCTCTCATGGAATGTCATGTGAGACAGCCCTTAGTTCTGATCCCATCCCAGTGCATGGGTTTGGGTATGTTTTTTGGAAGCATTTCTGCTGTTTCAGTTATTGATAGAGAGGAACTCCTTAGAACTTAGTTTTGTCTGTATAAAACAGTGTGAGGTAGATCAGTTACTTCAGCAAAGAAAAGAGCATTTGTTAGCCCTAGATCAAGTACACTTGATCACAGCTGCATTTCTAGTCCAAGCAATGTAAAAAGACCAGATGCCCTTGAGAAGAGTTAGGTAACCCAGGGAGCACCATTCCTTAAAAGCTGTATTTCTGTAACATTTTGTCCAGGTGAACCCTGAGCCAGGGATGACATGGTTTCCACACTGCTTTTAAAGTGACCTCTGTATTAAGTGTGTTTTGCTTTATATTGCAAAAGCCCAGATACAGACAGAATCTTTAGGAGTCAGATGATAAAAGGCTGCAACGCTATTAGGCTGCAAATGTGTAACAGTAGGGCAGCTTTCTAATGCCACCAAATTACAGCATTTGCCTAAAGATCTTCTGAGCTGCTTCCAAGTGTTAGAACCAGAAACTTGTGATTGAATGTTTGAGTAATTCTTCCTAGGGATCTATTATTTATTTACCCAAGTCCTTTCCATTTACCAGAGGTGTGGGAAGCAGTGTGAGTCAATGGAGTCCCGAGAGTTGTGTCTGGTGGTGCTGACAAGTTTCATCTACTGTAATGAAGCAGATCTGGGAGAAAAAAAAAAGAAAAAGAAAAAGAGAGAAGTAGATCTCTGAAGTGCTGCAAAGTGTTTTAGCCTTTTGGTCAAACCACAGCCGGCAGGAGTTGGGCTGTGAACACTACCAGCAGCGCTCGGCTGTGCTGCTAGAGCTACCAGGCTAACCACAGGAAGGGTAATGTGGATTTGACCAAAGGGCATTCTCTGCTGTGTCTGGAGATGGTGCACTAAGAAATAAAACCAGAAGTTTATGAAGAAGAGACGTTTTCTTGAATGTAGGTGCCCGAAGGGTGAACAGGAGCATTGTTCCTCATCTTCAGCCACGATGTGTTCTTATTTCTGCATGAACTGGATTCTTCTCATCCTGTGTACAGGTAACTAAATGACTAGGTGAAGGCACGTCAGTGTTTCAGAGATGTTTTGTGTTACAGTAAGAAGAGTGGCCACATAGTTCAGGAACTGCAGGTTTATGTTATAACTAGAACTTGGTCACAATGGCTCAATAGTCTTCTGATAGCCTTATTTCCGTTTTAAAACAAAATCATGTTGAGGATATGATGGTTTTAAACATGCTGCTTCTTGATCTATCTGCTAGTCTTGTTAGTGAATGATCTTTGGGATTTTTTAGATAATGATGATCTGATCTGTGAAGAGCAGAGAACTTTAAATAATTTTAGAAAAGATGTGAAATAAGGATATTTCACTTCAACAGGATTTGTGAAGGTAAGTGCTTAGAAAGACAGGGAAAAGGTCACTTGTGGCTTCTGGTGGTTTTTAGCCCATATGAAATGTTATTGGGACAAATTGGTAATTTCTCCTTTATCCTGAGAAAGCAGTCCTCCTAGGAAAATATTTTTAAAGGCAATAGCAATGGAAGCAGCAGGTTGTCAAGTGGTACTAGTATAGGCAGATAGACATTAAATATGTCGTGGCAGAATGTGGTCGGCAGAAGGAAAGGGGGTATTACAGGTATTGTTTCCTCTAACAGTTTATAAGACCCTTTGTGATGAGATTCATTTAAAGCTTGCATTTTTATATTAAATAAAATACATTCTTTTCAGAGATTGGTTTCTACTATGCTATTGTGGCAAAGTCTCTGAATGCAGATTTATTTTTAACTGTAATAGCTTAGGTTAGGAGGATGACTGAGTTGAGCTGGGGGAAACAGCTGTTTCAGAAGGAACAATTGCAACCAAGCCACATGGCACATGTTGGTGGACCTGCCTCGGGGAGCTCCCTTCCTGATTACAGACTGGGCTAGCCTTTTAATAGAGGTAATTTGTTGCCTGTACTTCTGCAGAGAATTCTATCCCTGAAATGTTAATATAGCTAGATCAAAATATTTACACATGATCCAATGTTACTGAATTTGGCAAGGGATGTGTAATGGTAAGTACAAACAAGTTTTCTTTCAGGTACAAGCAGACAGGAGCCCCACTGTGTAATTTGTTAGAAGGTGATTACAGGATAACTATGACTGGATCACCAGAGTGCAAGTTATTTAAGCTGGCACTAAATATAGCTTTTATTAAAACCCTCCTAAAGGCAGTATTGACTGGGGTGGTCTAAGTACAGCAAAAGAACCCATCTAACTGTGATGGGTGGGCTACTGGCTGCTAGGTCTCGCTCTTTTCACTTGAATAGTGTGACACAGCCTTGTGGAAATGTGCAAAATTACTTTTAATTGGAATGAAACACGTTAGAAACTGCATCAGAATGACGGAAGAAAATAAGGTAGTGGAAAAGGAAGGCATAAAATTTCTCAGAAAAGCTCTGAGAAATCTCTTCTGATAGAAATAGGCAAACCTATCGTTAGGCAAAAAAAGAGGAAACATGTTCAGCAGTGATCATTCTGATGAAGCCTGCTGTTGAATGGCTTTCATTAAAAGGGAGGAAGTTTCCCACAATGGTTATAATGAAACTCGGTGTCTTACTATTCCCCCATGTGTGGCTCGGGTTAAATCCGAACTAAGGAAAAAAAAAAAAGAGCTAAAAGCCCAGACATGGCAGAAGAGAAGGCACCAAGTTGTGCAGATCCAAACTCTGTTTCCTCTTCACCTCTCTGCCGAGGCTATAGAAAGTGGGATGTTCCTTTCTCTGTCTAGAGACACATTCTGAAGAGATCACTGACACGAACATTGTCCCTCACTGGGTCAGTCCTGCTGGGAATCACACCTACTTGTGGAACACACGGCCCGGCAGTGCCTGGTGGTGGTTGTGAGATGGGAGGTACCAGGTCATGCAAGATGTGCCAGGAGCTTCCACTTGCATGCACTGTGCTTAACAACCACGTTTGTCTTCTTGTCCCCAGGCCCCGTGGTGTCAGGATCACTTGTGAAAGGAAAAGTTGGTCAGAATATCATCGTGCCCTGCTTTTACAGTGTTAAGACAACGGACGACATCACATCGATGTGCTGGGGGCGTGGCAGCTGCCCTTCTTCCAAGTGTTCCGAGACGCTCCTCTGGACGGACGGCTGGCAGGTGACGGAGCGGTCCAGCAGCAGGTACAGGCTGAGGGGCAACCTGCGGGGGGGCGACGTGTCCCTCACCATCCTCAGCGCCCAGGAGGCGGACAGCGGCACCTACTGCTGCCGCGTGGAGATCCCGGGGTGGTTCAACGACCTGAAGAGTGAGCACAAGGTCCTGATAGAGAGAGGTGAGTGCAGAGGCGCTCTCGTGTCAGTGCTCTTGTGGTAAGTCTGCTGCTGAGTCTGGTTTCAAAGCTTGTTGTGCAAATGATTCCTGCAGTCACGCGTAGGACAGATCTTTAGGACTGTGCAGATCTGCTCCTAATTGTCTTGGGCATTGTTGTAATCCCAGCACAGTCACTGCAGTTACAGAAAGGACTCGGTGCCTTGTTTCATGGTGCACAGCACTACTGAGCTTTCCTAGAAGCACTGTTTGAAGAATTCAAGAGAAGGGACAGCATAGGATAATTAATTCATCAAGCAGCATACTTGTACACTTTCCATAGAAAACAGTGCTTCAGTTTCCCTGCATGATTCTAGAGTAAAGCCCAGGGACACAAAATTAGTATAGACAATTTTTTTTTTTATCAGCACTTCCTTTGATTTTTTAGTTTTTCTCATTCGTAAAAAGCATGATAATACAGTGGCTGACAGATGTGTAGCTGGTGCTAGGAAATTTTTATTACAGAAACACTTTCTTTTTCATGGTATAAATGTACACTAAGTTTAATTATAACATGTGTTGGTTTTGTTTTATTTTTAACATCAGCTAGAATCTCTACTGCAAGTCCTCACACTTACACCTCTGAACAGACCACAGGTAACTTTTATCCAAGTATTCATCTCAATAGCATATATAAGCTATACTGCAAATGGGGATCTTAGGGAGGAAACAAAACAATAAATCATAGAAATGTCTTGGTTGAAATTTACTGAATATTACCACAGAACCAGAGATCAGAATTTGGATTTAAATTCTGCCTGACAGTATATACAGACTCCAATGACAGGAACATGTATACGTGAGGAAGTTTGGTTCCAGGTATTATGTTTAAGTATATGTTTTATTGGTGCTGCAAGCATTGGTTTTCTTGTGTTTGTTGTTTTGGTATGTTGTTTTCTTTGTAGTATAAAAAAAAATCTCACCTTGCCTTCTGGAAATGCATCCCATGAACAGTAAACCACAAATTTTTAGGAGTTGTGTGTGCCCACTATTTAATCAATTTATTTGTTGCTCTGTAACATAGAACTGTTTTACTGGACTAGCTCAAAAGTGCATCTAACTCAGGTTCCTATCTCAGTAGCAGTCAGCAGCAGATGATTAAGGAGAAGAGCAGAACCAGGGCAGTGATTTAGTGATACAGTGCTGAAGTATCCTACCCTGGTATAATGTGTGTTTCTGAGGCTGCCTGTGTCCTCTCTAGCCTATGCATATTTAATAATGTGAAGCCTCTTATTGTAGTGGAAGACACTGTGGACAACTAATCCTCCTTGGTTTCTTCATTCCACTCACAAGTTCATAGACTTCTATCATGTGCCTGCTCAGCTGCATCCAAAAAAGACAGCTTTAATTTCCAGTACACAAGAGAGAGCTTGTAATATAACAATAGCTTATTCTCTGGATTTGGAAAGAAGAAATTAGGGATGTCATTTGTATTTCTCCCTCCACCTCAGATATTTCCAGCTAAGCATCTCTAAAATGTTACAACAGTTGCATTTCCTTTTTGGAAGAAGAAGTGAAAACTTTCTCAGACTGTTTCTGTTATAGTTGAAAATACCATGGCTTCCAATCTTAGAACTCACGGGTTTTCTTAACCCTGTGATGTCTTTATTTGCTGCTGGTGCAACAATTTTTAGTGTTTTCAGAAGGCATGTTAATATGTGGACGTTCATACAGAGGGAGACTGGGAAAGGCAGGTGGCCATATGCCTCTCCTGTAGGAATACTCCAGCACCTCAACCGCAGAGAACATTGAAGCAGATAATCCTGCTGTCTTCAGAATAAAGCTTCTGGGCTAAGGATAATGATTTAAAACATCAAAGGAACGAAGTGAGGTTGTCATAATGTGAACAGGAGATTTTGTCAGGTGATATACAACCCTCCTGAACATATCACATGGAGAAACTGAGATTGATGATGTGGAGGACATGAATTTGTAGTTCTGAAGTTTAATTATTGCAAACAGCTTTGCTCTGGGAAATTACCTCAAAATATGCTGCAGGTCCTTATGCAAAGATATCATGCTTTGGTCTGTTTGTTGTGTAGCTGTCTGGGACTTTACAAATATCACATTTTCTCTGACTTTCCACCACTTAGTCTTTCAAGGCCCTGAGCTAACCTTGATCAGTTTTCATCAGATAACCAAAGTTTGATTTCAGCATCCACTGCCACTTGATTCCAAAACTAGATGCCTACCTTGGTAGTTCCTTTCTTCTGGGGCCTGTGTTGAGATAACAGCAAGAGCTAAGTGTTTCCTGGAAGGAATTCAAAGCTCTGAAAAGTCCAGCAGGGGCTTCAGTATTCAGAGTTTTGTGCTGCCTTCTGAAGGCACCAGCCTCTTTATGGTATGCAGAGCCGAGACTCCTGGTAGAGAGATACTTAAATTCAGTGGTCCCAAATCAGCAATACAAATTGCTCTCTGTCAAGGCAGAATGGTTCTCTGTGTTAATGATGTGTTTGTGTTGCCTTTGCTCAGCTCGTGGGAGCACCAGCGAGTCATCCTTTACCATCACAAGAACGTGGCCATCAGTTCCTGCTTCAGAAGCTCCTAGGACTGTAAGCATCACCTAGACAAAGTGGACAGACATGAGAGGTCTCTGGGTCAGCCCTACAGTTCACTTGTACTACTTTAGTTTGATTGCAAAAGAATAGTTTTTTTGTTTGTTTTTGGTGTTGTGCTTTTTTTTTTAGGTCTGCACATTTAGTGCTTATGAAAGAGGGAAAAAACCCTGCTTTGTGTGCATAAAATACTTCCTACTTGTGAGGGAGGAGCTTTAGCAGTGTCTATATTGCCTTTCAGGCATCTGATCCCTGCTCAAGCACCTCAGACTGCTGGGATGTAACCACTAACCTGCAGGTATGGCAGGATATGGGGAGGGGTTGAAACTGGACCACCTGACAGCACAGGGATGCCCTGTACTCCCTGTACGGTGGGGACCTCTGTGTCTGTCCTGCTGAGTCCTCAGCACATATTGCAAGGTGCAGGCAGTCACAATGCCCAGATTTTATCAGGAGCAGGAGACAGCCAAGCTGGCCTTTGGGAGGGCCTGCTGTGATGTGCTGCAAGGCAGTGTGTGCTGTGGGCATCCATACTGCTGCACGTGCAGAATGTACAGCAGGGACCACACTGCTCTTCCAGGCCTGAGTTCCTAGTGAGAGGTTAGAGATCTAACAGCTGCCTTCAGAAAGAAGCTTTGTCTAAATAAAGACCAGCCTGAGGAGAAGGCATGTTTACTTATCAGTATAAAGCCTTGCATAACTACTGAATAAGCTGACAGAAAGGTGGGAGGGTGTGACATCAGGAGGTATTTTAATATTTTTTAAAAAAAATATTCACCAAATAGCATTAAGCCTGAACAAATGGGTTTTGTTATAACTTCAGGTCCTTTTACAATCTGAAAAAATGTGTTTTAACAGCATGGTCCACACAACTTTCGTAGTGATTCAGCTTGAAACTAGCCCTATGTCTCAAATTAAGATCTTGTTCTCAAGTCTACTTTTACTGCAAGATGGCAAAACACACAAGTGGTCTTTGGGTACTGTATGGAATTCTTGCTCTCAGTGCCACTAATGCTCATCTGTTTTGTGTTTGACAGAACGTGTCTTTATCACTTCCCAGTCAGCAGTATTCAGAGAAAGGGCTGTACATTGGGATTGGTTTATGTACAGCACTTCTAGCCGTCCTTATTTTGGCACTGTTCCTGACTAGACGTAAGTCCTGGTCACACTGAGTCCTGGTCACACTGAGTCCTGGTCACACTGAGTCCTGGTCACACGTGGTTGTTCACGGAGGGGTTGGGTACATCTAATCACAGCTGTGGCAGGTGCCACATGTCTTCTGCTTCAGGGAACTGAGCTCAGGTCTCTGGATGGCCTCACTCACCCTGTGCTCTCAGCTCTCCCCTTAGCCTCTGGAGCACAGAATAGCAAACTGTGAAAGTAGTTTTATTATTTCATGTCTCAAACTCCTTAGCCAACCAATCAACCAAGATTCTGGTGAGGAGATGCATGAAACAAGCCCACCCCTGCCCCACTTGTTTCCTCCTACTCATTCTTTAGCTGCCATGTTGTCCCAGTCCTTCTCAGAGATAATGGGAGAGGCACTAGTTTCATATAACTATATAAAATATTTTTCTGTGTGCCAGATTTTCTGCCTAGAAGCTCTTGGTCAGACCAAACCATATGTATTAGAGCTCATGGAAGTGATGGGGATTTCCTATACTGAAAATATTTGCTTAAGTTCCCCTATTTACTTTCTTACACTTGCATTTTCTTTTTGAATTTTGTTTAACTCGCTTTTGATGGTTTAAAGAAAAATATTTGTTTTCTTTATTTTCTTTCTGGACGGTCCTTAGGATATTTATACAACTCAAAGAAGACAGGTGACTTTGCAAAGTAAGTATTCTGTTTCAGTTCTAGCTAATAGGACAAAATAGGTTGCAGAAAGAAAATGCTGTCACTGTGCTGATCATTCCACCACATACTTTGACTTTCTTTTTTAAGAAAGTTAATAGTTTTTTTCATTGCAGAAAGAAATTAATACATCCTATTACTTATCATTGGTTAGTAAGCAAAAATGAGTTTGTCAGTTCATTGGATTAGGGAGCATGCAAACTTCAAGTGTAGGTTGTCTTGTAAGTGGAAAAATGATTCATTATCAGACATGCTTGAACAAGTGTGTTTGCATATTTTGTGTTTTTTTTCCAATGAGCTAGTTGATTTAGTTATCTGCTTTTCTGTGTTTCTATTGTCTGGGTTTTGTTCAGCAACATGGTTTTCACTTTTTTTTTTGCAGCTTCGTTGCATTTTGGAGGCCAGAAGGTGCAGGGAGCCATCATGCCCTGGAAGATGAAAACCGTGCAGAGGAGAATGTTTATATAATACACTAAGGATTGGATGCATGCTTGCCTTTGTCATTTCTAGGGCATTAAATAGTTTGCAAAATGTTAGCTGCTCCCTCTGCTCAGCAGCTAAACGTGACAGGACTACTGCAGTATTATTCACATCGTTCTAATAAAACAAATAAAAACTACACTTTTAATTAGAAAACTTTATCAGCCTGTTCCAGAAACAGAAACCCTACTGGCATGTATGGAAATTTCCAGAATCCACTTATCAAACCCTAAATAAATTTACCATTATATTTATTATCTGCTTCAAATTCTCTCTCTTTGGAAAAGAGGAAGGGCCAGAATAGCTACTACATCACAAAAGGAAAACCACACTTTGTTTTTTTTTTAAGTTTATCTGTGCTGTGTATTATATGTGCCAGCTGTAAAAGTCCATTGCATCAGAGGGCAGAAGCAATCTAGCTGCCACAACAAAGATGACACATGGAAAAACTTGGTAGTATTAGTATTTCAGTATATGTTTAGCTGGATTTTCATTAAAGTCACGTATACCCAGTCCTGGTAGCAGCTCACTGATGCAATGTGTCCACCCAAAGTTAAATCTGGAGGAGCTTGATGCTCAGCTTGTTATGGGTTGTCCTCAGAGCCTACAGGATCTGTGCAGAATATTCATAGCTTGTTTTCAGAGAATCATGACTAGAGGGTGTTCCTCTGCAAAATGCATCATGTTTTTCCTCTGTGGCTTTCTCCATGGGTGTGCCTCTGGCCTGAGAAGTCCTCAGGGTGGCAGTTTCCACTTTCAGGCCTCTAAAAGGACTGAACAAAAAACAACTACTTTGTAAAGTTAATTAAATTCTTACTTTTCTTAGCTTGTGGGTAAGTCATAGACATTGCACAGAATATTGGCTGAAAGTTTGCCCTGCCTTTACACCTGTCTAGGTACCAAATGACTCTAATGTCTTATGCTGAATTAGTTTGGTGGCTTTTAGCTCATAAATGGGGAGTATCTGGCCTAGTGCCTTTCCTCTACTGCTCCTCAGTTAGACCTGGCTCTCAGCTTTTATTCTCTGCAACACTAAACTTTGGCTTACTTAAATAAATGGAGGCAGCCCTATGAGGATGAATCAATAGTTTGTGCCTTGTTTAGCAACAGGCACACCACACCCAAATCAGCTTTAATTGGAAGAATAATTTTCCTCAATTGTTTTTAAGAATACATTTTTAAACAGAGACTGGGAATTTCCTGAAAGTGCATGAAAGTAGCACAGGCAGGAGAAAGACCAACCCTTCCCAAGTACTGGGCAGTGCAAATTTTGCCCTGAAGCTCCTCCCAAGGAATACCTAAAGCAGATATTGCTGCCACAGGAAGATCTGTAGGTTTACTGCAAACTTTCTATTGAGTTCATAATTTCCAAGGGAGTCATGTAAAGAAAAAAGCTGCATTATTCAATGAGGTGTTAAAGAGGAATAATAAAATCAGTAGGTATTTGTTAACAGCTGAGACACCTGAGGCCATGGTCTGGTTGTGCTTTAAGGAGAGCTTGGGTCAGCGGAGCGTTATCCATCCTTCCCCCAGCTGGTAGAGATGGGAGGGCTTGGGCAGGCTGGGGAGGGGAGTGGTTTCTCCCTGGAGAGCCTGGCTAAGGTGGGATACTGCAGGCGAGCGTGCCTGCAAAGGCTCACAAAGGAGAGAAAGGCTCCTTATCCTGTTGAGGGCAGAAGAAATGGAAAGCAAGCTGTAACAGGTGACCCTGGTGCGGTTTGTGTTTTCACTTGGGCTGTGTGTTGTCTTGGGGCTTTCTGTTGGGGCAGGCCTCAAAGGCAGCCAGTGTGGAGGTGAATTCATGGTTGATGGAAGAACTTAGTGTGGGAGCACAGGTATTAGGGGATCACTGATCCCTAGGCCAGGAAAGGGCAGAGCTGGCTTCCTCCATGGCGTTTTCTGTCTTCACGTCACGTGTTGCCTTGTGTGAAAACCTACTGAAACTAGAAAACCTGCTGGTGTTACACTCTATTTTTGTGTTTGACTATTAGTAACAATTGCTAAATGAACATGACTGGCCACACTGCAGATGTTGCTTTCCTTCTGCATGGCTGGGCATGCCGTTGTTGTCGTCAGTCTAACCCATGTCTGGAGCTGGAGGAAGTCTGATCTTGTCTCTGAACTAGATCTCAGAAAACTCCTTCAGCACTTTCTGCAACTTCTACCACATCAGTGTCTACTGGGATCAATTAGACAAGTTTGGGGTTTCCAGAATTATCTGATTCCAACTGCTCATGCTCTTAAGGAGTTTGAAGACCATCTTTAAAGACTGCTAATGATGAAAACTTCTTGCCCATAAGGATTTTTTTTCTTGCTATTACAGATTAATTCAGACTAATCCTTATATCAGAAAGTTCTAATGCAAAATAAAGTTCTAGACTATCTGATAACCAAAATCTCAATTAAAATTTCCTTTCTGCTGTGCAATTACTTGGTAAACAGACTCTGTAAAGATTGTGCAGAGCAAGAACTTTGCCTTGGATACATAGTATAGTAGAAAAAAATATGTGCAACCACAAGTTCCCTGGAAATTTTTTTTTTTTTTAGCTTAATGGTCAGCCATGGGAGATGAAGGAGAAACTGGGGAGGGAAAAAGTCTCCAGGATACTTTTTTCCTGGAGAAAAAGTATCAATAGTTGATCACATCAGGTTCATTAGTTCTATTCACAGAACAGCAGAGGATGTGTGTACTTGGCATTGTACGAGCTGTACCTGGTAGAATATAGCAAGTTAGATATTTTTACTGATCTCTGGTTAACCTGCCTTATAATGTTGATAATAAGATGCTGCTCTGTTTTTGTGTCTAATCCCATGGGTTGCTGTTTATGCTGCACTGAAGCATGTACATGTACAAAGCAGCACTATGGCATAGTTGCTGCATATTGCTGAATAGTTCTCTTAGGTTCGTACTGCTTGAATCTGCCACTAAGCCTGCTGCAGCAGCATCAGCTGGCTATGTCCTGGTGAAAGAAACCAGGCATCCTGGCTTTGCTGGAGCCTAGTCTACCTGGAATCTATTTCTTGCCACTGTAATGTAGTGGCTGTATGAAGGATGAGTATGCTAGTGAGAGGTAGCCTCCTACTCCAATGTGTAACCGAGTCCAACAGGTCCACAAGCACAAGAGTCCAGTGCTGATGCTGTGTTGGGGGGATATCGAACAGCTAATCTCTCTCCCACATTCCTGTGCTACTCAAGATTTTGTAGACCTGTTCGTGATGCCTCTTAGGTTATTTCTTTTCAAGGCTTACTCATCCTGGGCTACTCATCTAATCCTCCTGTGGAAGCTCTTCCACACTTTCTACCATTCTTTTTGCCCTTCTTGGAACCCTTTCTGGATCTAACATATGCTTTGAGGGACTAGAACTATATGTAGAGTTCAAGGTAGATCTGTATAGTGGCATAATGCTGTCTTCTGCTTTGTTTTCCATTGCTTTACTAGCAAGTGCTAAAATTTGATTTGCCTTTTTTAATGCTGTGAAGCAGAGGTATGATATTTTAATGGCCTTGACTATTCATGATAAACTCCAAATTTCCTGTCTGAGGGGGTAATGTTTGGCTAAACCCCATCATTTTATGATTTGAACTTGGAATTGCTTCCTCCATTTGCACCATGCTACATTTATTTGCACAGAATTTTGTCTGTCTGCAGCTCTTCATTCCTGACCTTAATGCCCTGGATTACTTTTGCTTTATTATTCATCTTTTCCAGAGCAGAACTTCTTTATCAATTGGCCAGAAAGAGTAAAAGAAGAAAGTGAAAAAGATTAAAAAGTATTTCTTGGAGTTGATGTTGCAGGTCTTTGGGAAGGACACTGTTTTGGCAAGAAAACATTTGTGAGTGTCTCCAAGACTGTCTTTGCAAATAGAAGATACAAAGCTGCCGAAAGAAAGAGCAGAGTCTTCAAGCAGAATCAGGGAAAATTAAGGGATTAAGAAAATATAAGTGAAGACAAAGTCAGAGGTAGAGACTAAGCCAAATATTTAGGAGTGTAAGAGCATAGAGCTGTTTTTTGCTGCTCAGCAGCACAGAATGGTGATGGGCCTTAAGAGTTCCATACAAAGGCAAAACAAACAGTATATTGAAATCTCTGGTGGTAGTACAATGCCAAGTATCTTGAAAGAGGAAGAAGAATAGGATCAAATGATATAGGGTAGAAGAGTCCAGCTGATCAGCTAGTCCAACTCCCTGATCACTGGGCTGACCAAAAGTTAAAGCATTTTGTTAAGGAGATTGTCCAAACACCCCTTAAACACTGATAGGCTTGGGACATCACCTGCCTCTCTAGGATTGCCATTCCAGGGTTTGATCACCCTCTCAGTAAAGGAATGCTTCCCAGTGCCCTGTCTAAACCTTCTCTGGTGCAGCTTTGAACCATTCCTACGTGTCCTATCACTGGATACCAGGGAGAATAGACCAGCACCTCCCTCTCACGTCCCCTCCTCAGGAAGCCACAGAGTGCAAGGAGGTCGCCCCTCAGCCTCCTTTCCTCCAAACTAGACAAACCCAGACTCTTCAGCTGCTCCTCATGGGACATGCCTTCCAGCTCCTTTTGCCAGCTTAGTTGACCTCCTCTGGGCACATTCAAGGACTTTCACATCCTTCTTAGATTTTGGGGTGCAGAGCTGCACACAGCACTCAAAGTGAGGCGGCACCATTGCTAAATCCAGTAGGAGAATCACCTCTTTTGACTGGCCTCTATCCGGAAACGTAGGAAGGAAGCAGTTGTGGTACATAAAATGGGGAACTGGAGAAATGAGACTTCAGTGGGGCTCACTCAGCATCTCAGGAAAGCATAGTTTTCTCTCCTTCCACTCGCTGCTCTGGAGTCTTTGTCAGCTAAAATGTCCTGTTTTGTGCTGTTTCACTGGATTGTGATCCAGATATTTATAGGTGAGTCCTCACTTGTTTTTTGTGTGCTTGCTCAGAAAACAAAAATTTTGTAACATGGAAACCAACAACACTTGTTTTGTGGAAAAAAAACAAAAATCCAAACAACTATGAAAAATGTTGTAATTGTCTACAGAACTGGAAAAAGCTTTCTTAACTTACTAATACTGATTTAGATTGATAGATCGATTGATTGATTTTTTTTTTTTTTAAATGTATGTGGTTTCGTCTGCTAGATGTGTACTGCTGGCTTTGCTCCTTCACCTATCTCCCCACCACACGACAGTGCTGGCACAGCCCAGGCTAGGGAATGGAAATATTGGCAGAGAATGAATGTGTATACACGATAAAGAAAGGATTTTCTGAAACTCTGAGGGCTGTCTGCTGTTATGAACTGAGTATGGGAAAACACAGCTGGAGATTCTTCTTTTACTCACAAATGTTCAGTTTGCCAATCTAAAATCTGAATCCTAAAAGAGATGGAAATCAAAGAAGAGTAAGTTGGGAGACAGCGCCTTACAAGTGTGATTGGTCTCAGTGCTGTTTCTGCATGCACATTTAGGCATCAGCAACACAGGTGCCAAATTGCCTGAGGTGGCTCAGGGATGGGAGCTCACCATGTGCTTTAGGCATTTTAGGAAATGCTGTCTCAGATGACCCATTATGAATTGGGTAACCTCTGTGAGGTTCTATATTACAAATAACATCTAGAGCAACTGTGATGTTCTTAAATTGGTCTGAAAAGTAGTGGATAAGTTTGGTCACTGGCAAGATGCATTGAGGGGCAAGAGGTGATCTGTGCCCCCCTGTGGCAAGGTAACACAACCTCCACCATGTCTGCTGCACAAGTGGAGCTTTGTTAGCACTTTGCTGTGGCCTAGGGAATTCCAAAATATTTATTGTCTTTTGCCATTCTCAGCAGAAGAAATGGGAGGGCTTGTTCCTCACCACATCTTCAGCCTCAAAATAAATGGGACGCACTCACCTCCATTTGATCTTATTTTCAAAACCTTTCTTACAAGAAGAACTACTGAAGGGTGAGAATGGCTTCTTCTTACCTTCTCTTTAAGCCATATCTGTGCTGTGAATGCGTAGTCTTGAGACTCAGGAAACCAGAAGACTGGGCAGTTAAATGCTTTTTTTTTTTTTTTTTTTCTGTTTATCAGTAACTTTCTCTCAATTTCATCAGTACAGAGGCTAAAGAAGAAATAATTAAAACAACAACAAAAAAAAAGGTTGATAAAGAAAAGAGTCCAAGTATCTTCTACAAAAAAAAGGAAATTATTCCAGAAATAAATCAAGGAAGAATAATTCTTTTCCAGGCAGCTGTCTTGGCTGGAGGATATATGTCTTTATTCATCCAGCGACAAGTCTGCAAGATAGATCACTACAACAGCAGCTATTGGCGTTTCAACTTAGTACCAACTGCCTTTGAGGGCTGGTTCAAGAGACACTATATGTAAATATGTCTGTACCTGTATGGTCAGAACAATTATGAATATTCCTCTCTGTTTTGGATTATATATTAAACATCTGGAGTCCCTTTCTCTCTCGCTTGGATTAAGGGCTTGGAGTGGCAA